ACTTCAGCTTAATGAAGTGGTCTGGGTGCCTGGTCCAGCTAGGGTTAACCCTTTTTTTTTTTATAAACATAGCAGTTTCAGAGAAACTGCTATGTTTATAATAGGGTTAATCCAGCCTTTAGAGCCTCTTTTGGCTGTCTCATTGACAGCCGCTAGAGGCGCTTGCGTGCTTCTCACTGTGAAAATCACAGTGAGAAGATGCCAGCGTCCATAGGAAAGCATTGAGAATGCTTTCCTATGAACTGTCTGAATGCGCACACGGCTCCTGCCGCGCATGCACATTCAGACGATGACGTCGCTATGAAGGAGGAGAGGAGGAGGAGAGCTCCCCACCCGGCGCTGGAGAAAGGTAAGATTTTAACCCCTTCCTGTCCCCAGAGCCCGGCGGGAGGTGGTCCCTGAGGGTGGGGGCACCCTCAGGGCACTATAGTGCCAGGAAAATGAGTATGTTTTCCTGGCACTATAGTGGTCCTTTAACAACCAAGATCTTTCTCCCATCATGCACTGCTGTACGAGCGTGATAGTCCCACTAGAATATCCAGTTAAGTGGATTATCCCTCCGTACAGCAGAACTGGCATTTCACATAAAAATCTATAACTTTCACATTATTCCTACTATATGACCGAATGACCGTTCGTAGATAGCTGGGGTCTGAGCGCACCTTTCGTTCAATTACCGCTCAGATCCCAGCACATCTAGCCGAACACCGCACAAATTATACTTTAACATATACTTTGCCTAAATTGCACGAATACACGAAAGACTGGTACTCCCGAATGGCCTGGAAGTCCAGCGGTATTCGTGCCGTCGAGTAGCCGATTTTAGTTCCAAGCACTCAACGACAAAATACCGCTGGGCTAACAAAGGATCCAAGATGGCGGACCACCGCGTGGTCGGTAGCCGAACGGCAGCCACCCTGAATCATTAATAACTACCGAAAGATACAAGATGTTGCAATGTTTAATGGGAGCCACACGACCTCCTGTGTGTGGTCTCCCATTCGGTAGTTTGTTCGTTTCCCGAACAGTGTTACAATTCACTGTTCGTGAAACTACTTTATGAATGCTGGTGGTTTTCATGCCGCCAGCATACGAATGCTCTTGTTCGCCTAACATAAAGAATTAGGTATACGCTTGGTTCTAACATCCTTAAAGCTACAGCAACACATTAATGTAAATACAGTCTTAAAGTGGCTAGTTTTGCCACACCAGGCCAAGTTGCCTATCATGTTAGGTCAGCCAACTGAGGGCAGAGGGAACATTGTTTTAGTGCTCTCTGTAGGGAACCAGTGCCCAGAACATAGAATGAGCGCATCTCATGATGCACTCACTCTATGCTTGTTGGAGACAGTTCCCTGGTGTCCCCAAAAGTGGGACAGTGGGACAGGACCCAAAAATCGTGATTGTCCCTCCCGAATCGTGACAGTTGATAGACATGATTTCATGGGTGTTGCCAACCCCAGCAGCATTGCTCTACTCTACTCTGCCTGTCTTGGTTAGCTGTGGATGCTTGTAGTGACACACAGCTTCTGGCATGCCAAGGCTCAAGGACTGTTTTTGAATTTCACAGTAGTATCCACAGTATTAGTACATGTTATTGTGAGGTACATGATTATCTGCATCGATTGATGACAAGCTCTGTGATTGGCACTTTCAGGCAGTGTTTGAACTAATGTTCCACGTGGAGATACAAACAATCTAATTGCTCAGATTGCAGTTCTTGTAACCATAAAAACAGGAGTGGTGCGGTGACAGCTATATAAATCCTTGCTTTTACTTACTCTGAAGTATTGGCTTTTAAGATCTCCCCTGTCTGATTAAATCATCTTATGAATTTAGGATGAGAGTAATGCTACCAGGAAATAGCAATTTGTCAAATGTATTCTTAATTTCTCGATTCACTTGGACTTTAATTCAGCGGACCATGTGTTGCAAATGCCTGACTATGGGCACTAGTGCCCTATCTCTTTTTGAAATATGTATCACTGGTTACATATACTTAAAGAGACAGTAACTATTCACTAATTAATTATTTAGCTAAAACTGCACTGTCACTTGTGAGATCTCTGCCACCAGGTGTTATGTCCACTTCCTTGTCTCCTGGCAGTTGAAGCTACCAGGATCTGCAACATCTGTACTCCTGCCCATGTGTGAAAATACAAAACAGAGGTCTGTGCTTCTGTAATGGCAGTCACTAATGCATGTTCCTGTATTTTGAGTACATGTGATGTAATCAATGCTTAGTCAGCAGATGATCAGATGGTGGGTGGGGGCCAAATGATAATGAGGGGGGGGGACCTACTGTCCTCTTCCCCCCCGCACCCCCCCCAAGGTGACTAGGGGTCCCCAAGCCCCTAGTCACCCACCCCCCCAACCCAAATATAAAGTCCCTACCTACCCCCGTCACCCTAAAAAATAGTGAGGGGGGAATAAAATAACTAACCTGTAAAATAAAATTAAACTTACCATTCGACGCCTTCTTTTTTCTCAAATCTTAAATTTTCAGCCCAAAAAAGGGCAAATAAAAAACCATCATAACCATCGAACTTAAAAAAAAAAAATCCCGAGCGCAAAAAAAAAAAACAGACGAAAAAGAAAAAACCCGAGCGCAAAAAATAATCCATCTTCACCCATAGAGGGCTCCGCGCAGACTGAGCTCCGCAGGGTGGGGGAAGGCTTATAAAGCCTTGCCCCGCCCTGCAATTAGGCTAAGATCACTCTGATTGGTGGGTTTAAGCCAATCAGAGTGCTCTTTGTCATTTTACACAGCGTGGGAAAATTCAAAAGAATTTTCCCACTGTGTAAAATGACACAGAGCACTGTTTTTTAGGGTGAGGGGGGTAGGTAGGGACTTTATATTTGGGTTGGGGGGGTGGGTGACTAGGGGCTTGGGGACCCCTAGTCACCTTGTGGGGGGGGAATTGACTTAGGGCCCCCACCCGCAGCCCAGGGGTGGGGGCCGGAGGGGAGGACAGTAGGTCCCCCCTCATTCTCTTTATGGCCCCCACCCGCCGCCCAGGGGTGGGGGCGAGGGGGAGGACAGTAGGTCCCCCCCCTCATTATCATTATGGCCCAGACCCGCCGCCCAGGGGTGGGGGCCAGAAGGGGGTTGGACAGTAGGTCCCCCCTCATTCTCTTTATGGCCCCCACCCGCCGCCCAGGGGTGGGGGCGAGGGGGAGGACAGTAGGTCCCCCCCCTCATTATCATTATGGCCCAGACCCGCTGCCCAGGGGTGGGGGCCGGGGGGGGCAGTAGGACAGTAGGTCTACCCTCATTCTCTTTATGGCCCCCACCCGCCGCCCAGGGGTGGGGGCGAGGGGGAGGACAGTAGGTCCCCCCCCTCATTATCATTATGACCCCCACCCACCGCGCAGGGGTGGGGGCCGGGGGGGGGGACTTTAGGTCATCTTTACTTAGTATTAGTAAATGTGGCTGAAAGACCAATTTAGGTCTTTCAGCCTTTTAGTAGATAACTCCCTGATACCGTGGGATACCACAGCACGAATAGGATCGGAGTTTCATTCATTCAAATGAAATTCCGATCCGAATAAAGTGCCGAATTGCCTTCTAAAAGAAACGAACATACTGTTCTCATTCAGTTAGAATGCAATTCGGCAGTTTAGTGTAAAATGACAGGAAGCATCGCGGGAACACATAGGAAAGGTGAGAATTATGGGAAAATTGCTCTGACCAGCGGAAATGAAGCACACTTTGCTCCTCCGCTGGTCAGAGCTGGTCAAGCGGAGGAATCCTCCATAAGGCAAAGAGTCCCTACTTTGTCTTATGATTTTAAAGAAAACTAAAGAAGACAGGAAGAAAAGAAGAACAGATCCCGAAAGAGGGGGAGAAGAGGAAGAGATTGAGGAAAGGTAAGTTCGGCATTACAGTGCCGCCTTAAGTAGGAGTCATAAATTTAATCTAGATTCTAAGAGCCCACACTGGCTTGAAATGGAGGCGGCCAACATTCTTTCAAGCACTTAGCACTTATAGCAAAATTCAACTGACCTACCTTGGTGTAAACTTTTCAATGCCTTTGTCAATTCCCTATATAAATTATATGGTTTTGTGGCAAAAATTAAACCCTAGGTTTCTAGAAGGGCAAAAAAAACCATGAAATTAAAGGGACACAATGGGGTGGAGAAAATCTATGAGGCAGTCAAAAATCCACAAAGAAGGTTATAGCAGCTATAAGAGAAATTAAAGAAAACACTGATATAAAAGCCTTAGGATATGAGTATAGGAAAATTAAGCTATAAAAATAATAACATTGTTCGGAACATGAATGTAGCCATGAAGCCACAGTAATGGAATAGAATTATCGCAAAGGCAAATACAAAACACAAAAAACTGACAGACATGAGACTGCTATTATGAAAAATAGATGTATGTACCTTTATTGACTTACATATAAAAATTGTACTGCGGGGGCAGGGCCTGCACCGCATGGCGGCTGGACGTGCTTCCTGAGAGCTCCAAGCCTGACCACAAACTAAAGCCAAAAAAACAACTCCCAGCACGCCAATCTGCCACCAAATAAGACTTACCTGGCCCTGGAGCCGGTTGACACCTTGGAAAATACTAACAAGGTGTTCCCCCTTGATTTCTCCGGTGCTTCTAGTGGGGCCTAGTGAAGATTTTTGTCGGGAGAGTCGGCCGCTCTCTAGTTCCGTGTGCCCACGCACGGCGGCCCTGTTGACCCAATCCCCCCCCCTTTTGGACCAGTCATCCCGGTCGCACACTCACACCAGCGCTGATGTTGACATGACTACCTGCCACCTAGACTACATGGCGGACCACACCTCTGTCCACAAGATGGCTGACAGCCGCCTACAACAAGCATGCATGCAACAGCTGCCACACCAAGACCCAAGTGACTAAGTTGAGAATTTTTTACAGAAAATGGAAGCACATTTTAACACCTTCTGGGCTAAGTTGGAAGGTAAGGCAGCAACGACCCAGATGCAGCCTCTGGGCAGTAAACAGAGAAGCGAGCGGGAGAATGGCGAAAGTCCTCAGACGCAAGCAGCATATATACACTCTGCTGACCTACATGGGCCGAAAACCACCAAACAAGCCTCCCAGACTCACCCACCTGGGCAGTCAGCTCGATGTCGTCGGGCCAAACTGGCAGTCACAATCCCTCAGCGGGTGCTCCTCATTCGGCGAAGACCGCGAAAATGCGACTTGTGGGAGGCAGCGAACAGGCCTGATGCGGAGCGGAGGGAGACAAGCAACTAGGACTGCTAGGCGGGAAGCAGGAGAGGGAGAGGCATGGAAGAAGTCAGGGAGGCCGCAAAGTTTCCCGGTCACCACAACAAAAGCCCTCACGCTGCTGGGCTGGCGGAGGTACTCTACCCAGAGGGACTATGTCCAGCAAGGTGTTCCACCTACGTACCGCAGAAAGATGCACCTCGGTGAACTGTGTATGCATGGCAGGCTAGTACCCAGTCAGGGAATTGGCTGACTCGCTGGTCAAGCTCACACATGTCCACATAGCATGTTTAATTATCTGTTCGCCCCATTGTATTACCCTATGCATTAACCATACAACACCTCTCACTCCATGGACATGTCTATCAAGAGCCTGGTCTCCCATTACATAGGGCTTAGGGCAACCGGGCTCTCATGATATGTGCACCACTAGCTTATACAGGTTCTCGACACATCAGCACACATCTAGCTATACTCAGATTTTATTAAAGACCCGGAGGCTCCTATTATGCTGCACTCTTTCTTTAATTCCCTCAGCAGCAAAGAAACATTATTTGAAAAAAGAGAACATTTGAAAAGGTATAAACATAACACAAACACAATAACATTGTCCGCCTAGCAACATGACCATCCAATCAGTGACATCCTTCTCCTATAGTAGGCGGAGCATCGATGGCCATTTCCTCTTTCTTTGCTGCTCCCTCAGATAAGTACACCTCTCACAGTGCTCTAAGACTGTGAGACCCTCTTATGATTGTATTATATGCTATTGGTTCTGGTTATAACCATGTTTACTATTCTAACACAGTATGTTTAACCTTATTTAATGTGTGGTACTTTTAAATTTTCATCTTTATTTAATGTGTGGTACCTTTAAATTTCAAACTTAGTATTGTACTTTAAAATTTATGTTGCGACTGGAATCCCTGCATTATACATACTTACAATACCTTCAATACTTAGTACATTACACCTTGCAGTTTTTTTCTATAACTGTTATTACAGCCCGGCCGTTTTCACGGGTTGTCGGACTCCCGTTCAGCCACGCATGCGCGTCTCGTCAGAGACACCCAGCAGCCATCTTGAGGTCCGGCTGTTGCGCGCATTCTGACTAAATTCCGATCGCGCATTCAGCCCCTACTGATACTCTCTCTGACATACTCCACGTGTAATCACTGTGGCCACCTCGTTCGTCCAAATGTACGGATTTTTAAACAGCGGCGGCCTTCTTTTTGGTGTCCGCTATCGTGGCGGCCATTTTCTTCAGGTTCCTTCCCGCCCTTTTGCTCTGATACGCCCACTCGGTCCTCTGGTCGGAGTGGGTGTCCATAATTAGTGGCGGACGGTTCTCTGTTTCATGCTCTCCCCCCTTAGTGGCTGTGAGTAGTTGTCATTGTAATAAAACCTTATTTTTCTGTTCTTGTCAAATTTTTCTGGTTTACTTAACCCAGTTCATCTATACTACTTATCAATAAAATACCCTTGCTTTACTCCATTACTCTATATTCCAATATGCAGTCACCCAATGAATTGCCTGGGCTAAATCTAACCCCCAAGCTTCCCTAGTTTTTCCTCATATGATTTCTGGGGACGAGGCTGACTTCCCAGCATCTGAAGAAATTCAGGCAATTATGGACACTACTGTGTCAAAAGCCCTAGCATCTGCTATGGACATTATGTCCTCATCTATTTCAAAATCTTTTGCACAAGGTTTGTCACAAGCCCAATCAGCGGTCCCTCTGGCAGCTATACCAGCCGCGATACCCACGGTCTCTCATCCTACACACCCCGGCCACAAGGCCTCGGCTAAAGTAAAGCACTCCTCCAAAAAAATGATGGACAGTTCTAAACCTGTCACAGATGGCGCGCATAATGATCCACCACGCAAGAGAGCCTCTAGCCGGGCAAAAGCGGCTAGGCATTGGAAATGGGCTAAAGCCAAACCAGATTACACTGAGTCCGAACTCAGTTCAGATGAGGAGAATGCATTTTCATTAGACTCAGACCAGTCGAAGGATTTATCCGACTTAGATTCGGACTACAGATTTTGTGAGGATTCAAAACCCTCTACTAACTTGCATACTACAGGCACGTCTAGCTCTGATCTAACTAAAGAGGGCAAAATACTCGACCCACAGGGTGAACCCTTATTTGAACCTAATGATTTACGTCACCCCCGCTCAGCGGAATGGTCACCGGCCATGTCAGCATCCCGGGTCTGCAAGCCTCTAGATAAGGCAGCCCGAAATAAATTAAGAGCAGAATGCCCACTGTACCCGACGAGGTCTGTAAGAGTTGACCCCAAGTCGACCCCAAAATTATTCAATTTCTAAGCAAAACTGGATGGAAACCTAAAAAAGGTTTAGATTAGACATGTGCAATTCGTTTCGGTCCGAATATGAATTCGGACGAATTTCGGACAATTAGGACATTCAGGTACTTCCGAATGTCCGAATAGCCGAAGTGCCGAATTGCCGAGGTCCAGAAGTTCCGAAATTACAGAATTTCCGAAGTGTCGAAGTTCCGAAGTGCTGAAGTGCCGAAGTTCCGAAGTTGCCGAAGTTCCGAAGTGTCAAAGTGCCGAAGTTCCGAAGCACAGTATTGCCTAAGTACTAATATACTTACCCAGTGGAAGAATGAAGAATGTTACACTGTATACAATTTTAAATAAAAAGTATACAAACATAGCCAATATTCAGCTGTAAGCATTTGCAACTCTTACAGCAATCAAGTAACATACATTCATATAAAATGGAAGTTACTTTAGCTACACTGTAATGACAGGAATGAATAAGTAGATAACTCCCTAATTTCCATGGTATTAGGGAGCTATCTACTAAAAGGCTGAAAGACCTAAATTGGTCTTTCAGCCAAATTTACTAATACTAAGTAAAGATTACTTAGTATTAGTAAATTATGACCCTACTTGCTATACCGTGAGTAGGGGCATGTCTAGTAAACAGTGAGCAGCCTGTGGCTGCTCATTGTAAAAAAAAAGTCCCCCCCTCTCAAGCTCCCACCCGTGCCACGCGAGTGGGGGCTTCTAATCTGAAGGGGGAACCTATTGCCCCCCTCAAACGGTGGGTGGGGGCCCTAAAGTAAAATAAGGGGGGACCTATTGTCCTCCCCCCCGGCCCCCACCCCTGAGCGGCGGGTGGGGGCCCTAAAGTAAAATAATGGGGGGACCTATTGTCCTCCCCTCCACCCCTGAGCGGTGGGTGGGGGCCCTAAAAACTGATTAGGGGGGGAACCTAATGTCCTCCCCCATGGCCCCCCACCCCTGAGCGGTGGGTGGGGGCCCTAAATTAGAATGAGGGGGGACCTAATGTCCTCCCCTGGCCCCCACCCCTGAGCGGTGGGTGGGGGCCCTAAAAACTAATTAGGGTGGGGGACTTAATTTGCAATCGACTCTTCGACTTCTCAAGGGCGCATGGGCACCTGGCACGAGACAGTCTTACAAGTCTGCTTGGCACACATGGGATAGTTGGTGCGTGGCAAGGGGTGTGGATCCCCTATCAACTCCTGTGACGACTGTCCTCCAATTCTTAACCTCCCTCTACAAGAAAGGGAAAGCCTATCGGACAGTAAACCTCTACCGCTCAGCGAGTTCAGCCGGCCACACCAGCATTGACGGTGCCCCGATGGGACGACACCCACTTGTCTGTCGCCTCCTCCGCTGCATCCGCTTCGCAAAGCCACCTTTACCTCATTATTCATTCCTATGGGACTTCTCTCTGGTATTGAATTTCCTGACTAAATGGCCAGACAATGAGACTTTATCCCTGAAGCAACTCTCGGCTAAACTGGTTATGCTGTTATGCCTGATCTCATGTAAAAGAGTATCAGATGTTAGAGCTCTCGATGTCAATGCCCGCTCCTTCTCCCCAGATGGACAAAATCATCCTCCCGGTCGGTCCGATATCCAGCTTTCCCCACAAAGCCGCACCTCTGCCCAGTAGCATGTCTCAGGATGTAAGAAGCTTGTACCGCACCCCTCCGGACTGGTTCGAACCCCCAACTCTTTATCTCCTTTCGCAAACCTCATGCTCCGGTATCCTCTCCTACCCTGGCCCGCTGGGTCACGTGGCTCATGTCATTGGCAGGCATTGATACCTCCATATTTTCTCCTCATTCAGTTCGTGGTCCCATGGCCTCCAAAGCTTCCTTCGTGGGTTGTCGTTTGGAGGATATTTTCAAAGCAGCTGATTGGTTCACGGAATCTACTTTCAAACCAACACAGCATTTTACAGAAGCCATGATATCACAGCTTTGAAATAGCATAATAGGAGCCTCCGGGTCTTTAATAAAATTCAAGGATTTTACTATTATTATGACGGAAAGTCATGATTTTATTAAAGACACGGTGGCGAGTATTAAAGAAAGAGTGCAGCAAAATAGGAGCCTCTGTGTCTTTAATAAAATCATGACTTTCCGTCATGATAATAGTAAAATCCTTGAATTGTACACTCATCCCTGCATCAAGCCTAGATGTGCCTGACACCTTGGGCACACAGACTCCCATTTTTTTTTTCCTCAACTCTTGCCCACACTCACGCTACGTTTAATGTTTATTATAAAACCCTGGGTTCATGTGTTAAACTACCTGAGTAGTACTACTACTGTGTTCTTTATTATCTACACATGTGGCATTGATTAGTTTGTTTATTTTTGTTATTAAAAAAAAATTGCAAGTATCTCATGCCATGGCAATGTATTTTCCTGTAAGTTAAAGCAATGCTTGTTAACACTGTTGTGGCGCCCCAAGTCTGTTTGTTCCTCTTTGCACAATAAAAATAAAGAATTAAAAATCTTTATAACAAGATTCTTTAAGAGCAAACTTTGCCTTTAGTCTGTTCAGGAACCTGCATAAATTAAAATATATTTTTCTTCTTTTCTCAGATGGAAAAGTTTAAAACATGCTGATGTTCAGTTTGGATTCAGAAATACGACCCTTATAATTATTAGATTACACTGAGACCTACGTTGGACAAGATAGACATGTCACAAATTATTCGAATGCTGTATCAGTTAAATGCGTTCTGGCATATTGAAAGTCTGGATGTAGAAGGAGAGAGAAGAAGGAGAGGGAAGAGAGGCTGAGAAGAGGGAAGATGAATGGAGGAGAGAGAGGAGAAGTTAGAATATAGAAAGAGAGGAGACAGGCAGAAGAGAGAGATACAATGGAGAGTGGGGAGAAAAGAGGAGAGAGTGATTATATGAAGATATAGGTTTCATTGATGTGAACATTACTTACATGTGTGTGTGTGTGCTGGTCCCACACCTCCTTAAATCTTAGATGATGTTGAAGTTATCTTTTTGTTTGTCCAGCTTTTTATTCGAAGGCTGAAGTTGCTTCGCATCCACCCAGGTTCCTATTCAGACTGGTTTCTTGTTTATTCAACTTCCTTTTTAGAAAAGTGATTAGTTACTAAACAACAAGCCACAAACATCTAAAATGTTCAATCTGCTCTGAGCCGAATGACATTGATCTTAAAATATGACCTTAACATCCATGCATTTCAATGGGAAATTCGGAATAAGTAACCAAGTTGACACAAAGCTATGTAAACTAATACAACATGAGCAGGATATTGGTTTGCTGCAGAGGGATTTAGATAGACTGGGGGTCTGGAAACTCAAATGGCAGGTTCAATTTCATGTGGATAAATGCAAAGTTATGCATTGGGGTAAAGAAGGCACAACCAAATTATACCCTAAATGGTAATGAATTAGGGATGACAACACATGAGGAGGATTTGGGATTTGTTATAGACAACAAACTAGGCAGCAATGTGCAATGTCAATATGCAGTTGCTAAGGCCAGTAAGGTATTGTCATGTATTAATAGGGCATTAGTGTTTAGGGAGAAAATATAATGTTGCCTCTTTATAAATTACTGGTAAGACCACATCTTTACTATATTCACAAAAAAAAAAAAAAAATACAATTGAGAGTATGGTTGGTGTTTCCACCCTCCAAACACTTAGTTTAAGTGCAGCGCTGTATAGGTGTTGTAAAGGAAAAACATACACTTACACCTCAAAGTATTTGGGGGCTGTACATACAAAATTAAGAAAAAAAACATAAGATACTGCAATATTGTATGATAAATGTAAAGTGACTATTTTTGTTCAGTGAGTAAAAATAAACTCAAATTATTTTGAGGCTTTTATGTGAGTATAGGCTCTAAACAGATCTGTGCCTTTAAAATAGGCCGCTTTACCTTTCTTGTATTTAAGGTTCCCTTTTATTCCTCTCAATGATATATGCAAAGGAAAAAACAAAACAGGAAACCTCTGAGTGTAGTACTTCAAGTTGTGGTACTAAATTTATCCAAAATAGAATAAAAAATGGGTGCTCACCTTTTTTAGAGCCTTTTAATAACTGGCTCTAAGTTTGCAGGCTTTTGTTTTGTTTTGATGCCAGTTTCAGGAGAGGAATCAGAGTGCGGAGAGGGAAAGCTGTTCACAGTTTAATTGATATGCTTTCCTAAAGAAGTAAGTTTTTAAAATATTTTTTGAAGGAGTGGAGATTGGGTGAAAATCTAACAGAGAGGGGAAGGGCATTCCAAAGGAACGGTGCAATCCTAGAGAAGTCTTTAAGGTGAGAATCAGAGGTAGGAGTACGAACAGAGGTTAGACGTATGTCTCCGGCAGAGCGTAGGGACCTAGTCGGTACATATTTGTGTATTAGTGAGGATAAGTAGGTGGGAGCAGCATTGTGTGGAGATTTGTAAACAAGTATCAGGATCTTAAATTGAGTCCTATATCTTACGGGAAGCCAATGTAAGGACTGACAAAGGGGAAGGCATGGGAGGTTCATTATAGACTGCAATGGGGCAAGTTGGGAGCACGTAAGACAACTGAGAAGCAGATTACAGTAGTCAAGGTGAGAGAGGACAACGGCATGGAAAAGCACCTTTGCCATATCAGGAGTTAAATAGGGTCGGATGCGTGCAATATTTTTGAGATGGAAGCAGGATTTGGCGATTGATTGGACATGAGGGGGTGAAGGAGAGTTCGGAATCAAAGAGACACCTACGCAGCGCCATTGACTTGGAGGGACACAGACAAGGGAGTAGCAACACAGGGAGGGAAGACCAGAAGTTCTGTTTTGGACAGGTTCAGTTTAAGGAAATGAGCAGCCATCCAGTTGGGAATAGCAGAGAGGCATTCAGAGCCACAAGTCAAGAGGGGTGGTGAGAAATCAGGTGAGGAACGATACATTTGCGTGTCATCCGCATAGAAATGATTAGACTTGGGCACTTCAGAAATTTTCGTTTAGTAATTAGTTTAGTCAGAACCGAAATTTGTCAATTCTTCCATTCGTTTTC